GGGGGGGGGGGGGGGGGAAGCTGCCCTCAGCTCATGCCTTAAGACCACAGGCATGCTCTCATGCCTGCTTTCAGGTAGAGGGGGCTGCCTATTTTTTAACTATTACTGTATACAGATGAAAAGTTATCTACAGTCATTCAGAGTTGTACATTTCAGCTAATTTCCATTTTAAACTAAATAAGACTTGAGATGATTCTTAAAATGTAAAATATTGGTCTGTAACTTTCTTTTGTGGTAGGAAGAATATGAAAAACAGCTTAAAGGCACAGAAGAGCAGGTAGAAGAGTTGGAAATGATCTTGAAGAATATGGAAGTGCTCCTACAAGAAAAAGTGGATGAGCTGAAAGAACAAGTGAGTGGTAGACAGTTGTAGTTCCCATGCTCACCCTCTTTCAAAACACTGGAAGACTCACACACCATGGGTGGGACTGTCCTGGTATTGGAGGGCTGAGTGCCAGTCACAGGGACCGTAAGGATGTGCACGCATCTCCGTGTGTGCTGGGGAACCCTGAGAAAGAGGTGCGTTCCAGGCAGAGAACAGGCCAATGTCCCTAGGGCCAACCATGGCACGTCTGAGGGCCATCAAGGACACTGTGTCTAGTGTGAACTGATTTGGGGGCGGGGGAGGGTGGTACAGATAGGCAGAGCCTGTCGTGTGTGTCCTGTAGGTGAAGGTCAAGAGTCTTTATTTTAAGAGCAGTTAGAAGCCATTATAAGGTTTTAAGTTAGATCATGATATAATCTATATTTTTAAAGAAATCATACTGGCGAGAAAAATCATTTTGGCTGCTATAAATAGGAGCAGAGACAAGTAAAAGAGGCTGCCCTAGTTTCCTTGATCTAATCCTACAGTCTAAGTGGGTAAGAGCTGCGGGTGGAGCAACAGCACATCCATTGTGGCAACAAGGTCGTAGCCTGGTGAAGCAGAGGCATAGGCTGAGACAGAGGCAGAGGCCCGGTGAGAGCTGGCAGCAGCTGGGGAGAGGCCTGGACACAGCAGCAACACCAGAAGAGTTATCCTCAGTGCTATAAGAGATTAAGACGAATGTGAAAATCTGGAGAAATATTTTTATTCCATAGTAATCAAGTATGGTGTGATTTATCTGAGGCATCCTGAGCTGAGCCCAAACTGGATGAGACATTCACACCTCTTGTTCCTGTCCAGGTCACTCTGCCTGGGGCCACCCTGCTGCTGGAGCCTCCAGTCCCGTTCCTATGTCTCGACTGTCATGGATGCTAGTGCCTCCCGCTTCTTTACCATCACTCACTTGCATAGCCTGCAGTTTGTCCCTTTTGCCTGCCAAAACCTTCATCGGGTTCAGTCCCGGCTCCTACACAACTGTCCTAGGCCCCTTGCTGGCTCCCGTGCACTCCCTCCTCTCTCTGACCTCAGTTCCTCTGACCTCTTCTCTCCACTGCAGTTTTGCTCCTCCTTGCACCAAGGAGGACGCGCTCCCTCAACATTTAACTGCCTCCCCACATCCTGCTGCACTCTGCCTCCTCCAGGACCCCTCTGAAGCCCACCCCCCAAGCACACAAACCTTAAGGGCTACTGACTCTCCCCCTGCCCCTCTAGCTCTCTGCTCATCTTTACAGAAATGCCCTCCACAGTCATCTGGCACCACCTCAGCTGCCTGTCCTCCCATCTACCCTGCTGCAGGCTCAGGCCTAAGACCCTGGAGTCATGGCTGACCCCTCCTCCTACCCATGTCCACATCTGACCTATAGTGCCACCCTCAGGACGGACACAGAACCCAACCATTTCTCAGCTCCCACCCTCACCTTCTGCATCTTAAAGGTTTCCTGTTTCCTCCCTTATTCTACTCTGAGCACATGAGCAATAGCAATCCTTCTAGAAAACGTGATCGAGTTCCTGTTCCTTCTCTGCTCAGAACCATCCAGTCTTCCTACGACCCTCTGAATAAAGGCAGAGTTTTTGCAATGGCCTGCAGAGTTCTGCCAGATCTAGTCCCCCCTTTGCCCCCTCAAAACTCTGGGTTGCTTGTCTGCCTCCCCCTCGACAATGCCCCTGCAGCTACCATGGTGTCCTGGCAGTTCCCGTCACCCTGAGCTTGTGTGCTTTTGTGGGGCCTTTGTGCTGGCTCGTTCTTGCCCAGACAGCCTCACGACCTGCTCCCTGACCTTATTCATGTCTCTGTTCAAGTGTCCTTACAGAAGCTCTCGTCTGTTCACCCCAACCAAAATGGGACCCTCCCGCAGCTGTCCGTCCCCTGCTGGGTGTTCTGAGCACATGTGCGCCTTTTTCATCTACCTCCTTCTATTAGAATATGTGCCCCATGAAGCGGGGATGCTGTTAGAGCGGTGGGCACACGTGGGGCTGCATAGTGACTACTCGTGAATGAACAAGTTCAGCACTGAGGAGGCCCAGTGCAGGGACCTCTGTGCCTTGTATCTTGAACAAGGTCATGGTAAGGTTTGGTGTCCAAAGTGGGCTTGTGTTCCTGTCCCTGAAGCCCTTGTAGGCATTGTGTACGTGGCACCAGGTGCCTTGGTGTGTCCTGGGTGACTTCACCAGCAGAGCATGCTGAGATGAACCAAACATTTTTTGCACTCCTGACAATTTCATTGTCTTACAATGGACGGGGTAGAGGGCCTTTTTGAGGACTACTGGTTTTGGTCTTAAGTCGTCTTTTCATAGCAAAAACAATTCTCGCAAAGTTGCCTTTCTCCACCCCATAGCTCAGCAGATTCTCAATTTCCTCCCTCATGCCAGGGTAACAAAAATTGCCATTACATTCAATATTTGTATCAGATCTGTAAGAACCCCCAAATTAGAGTTTTAACAAACATGGAAATGATGAGAGAGGCAAGCTGGTCGTGTGGCATTTCTGCACTAAATTTACAGTAAAGTATGACTTTCTCCCCTGTCTAGCTTGAAAAGAACACAAAATCTGACTTACTGCTCAAGGAGCTCTTTGTGGAAAATGCTCACCTGATGAAAGCACTTCAGGTCACCGAAGAGAAGCAACGAGGTGCTGAGAAAAACAGCCGCATCTTGGAAGAAAAAGTTCGAGCTCTCAACAAGCTAATCAGTAAGATTGCTTCAGCATCCCTCTCTGTGTAAAGGTAGCTTATTTTCCTAGAATTCATCTTAAAGGACATCTTTTAAAATTAAGCCACTGTGATGCCATAATTTTCTATGGCTCATCAGCCACGTATCCTCACACCCATGAGGATTCTCTCTTCACCCCACCAACATTTAATGAATGTCAACTACGTGCCAGATGCTGGGGAAATACACATGTAAAATTCCCAATTTTGCTTCTCGCTGGTGAGACAGATTCTAGGGGCTCTCAGCAAAGATCTAAAAGACAGTTGTTAAATAAAACACTTCCAATG